TGTCATCGAAGATCTCTCGGGAGCGTGGCTGTGTCCGTCTGGCCTCGGGAAAATTCTCATTCTAGACAAAAAAAAGTTTCCACTTTCTTTGTAGTTCCAGTGGAAATGTTGTCCCCCTACATGTGACGGGGTTCTTTTTTTCTTTCTAAAAAAAACTCGCCAGTGGACTACGACAGGGTCTTTTTGGGTCAGAGAGGACGATCTCACGTGCCTCAAAAACCTAAAAATCTAGGAGGATCGAAAGAAAATGCCTTGTGGCCATTGTTGACGTTTTACTCTCGGGGGGAGGGGGGTTAAATTTTCTCCTCGAGAAGTTCTCGACGGAGAAAATTCGCCTCTGATGGCAAGAACCTGCTTTCGATCTTTCTTGGAGTTTCTACTACTGCGGGATCGAGTATGGAGAAAGTTACTCAAGGTTTTCAAAATGGGAGACTTCGTTATCGATAAGTCGATCAAGATTTTCCCGAAGATAAAATTCTATCTATGAATCGTGTCACCGGTCGAGCGACCGAATTGTCTTTTTTTCTCACATTTTTTTTGCGATCGTTACTATTCGTTTTAATGTAGGCTTCGACCGTTCCGCACGCAATTTGTTTTCGAAAGCTCGCCGAGGGGATTTGTTGAGAAAATGTCCGAAGTTTCATTCCTCATAATCTATATGGGAATCTTATTTGGAGGAAATGCCTCGCTGAAGGAAAGTTTCATGAATTAGGCAAGAGTCCAATCACCTTGTCGATCGCAAGGCAAATTCAACTCTCGTCAATATATATCCGAACGTCAATATCCATCTGTCCGTCTAAAACCGAGTGTAAACATTCGAGAGGCTTATCCCAAGCTCGTTGCTTGCACCACCGACTTCAATCTAGGTCTGCGTGGATCCCTGTTTTCTGGAATAGGAGGGAATTTAATTGGAATTCCATTATGCCAAATGCGAAAGTTGAGGTGACCTTAATTTTTTCCCCCAGTCTAGATGAGCTTTTAGACTGTTTTTGACGGGTGCTTCAACTAATTGAATCCCTCCACTCTAGAGGGTGAAGAACCCACTTGAAAATGGAATATCTTTTGCACCAATGGGGTCACCCAATGGCATGGAAGTTGGATCAATCATCGTTGAGAAGGTATTGGAATATCGGCCAAACGTTGGGGTTCGACGGTGCGTTGAACCCCAACGTTGAACCCCAGTGCTATTAGGACTGGATTCGGCCGCGATCTCATGCTCCCAAAACCCGAAATCACATCGACCAAAAAAAATTCTGGTTCTCCGTCTTCATCTCACTTTGCGTCGCTCTTCATCTTCGCTTCCCCTCGTCCTTCATCACACTTACCCCATCCCGCCCCCTATCAATTCTCTGATTCCTTCCCCCTCGTGACCCGCCTGTAACCATAGAAACATGGGAACATGTACAACGCACTCTTTCCGCTTTGTGGTTTATCCTCTGTCTCTCTTACCCTCAGCCTCTCTCCCTCTCCTCGCTGGACCCAATCCAGCGCGACCATGGCGAAAATGGGGACTCGAGCGACGAGGCCTCCACAACCTGGTCGCCTACCCCGGCTCTCCCCTTATCTGACACTCCCCATTCTCTCTCTCTCACTCTCTCACCCAGTGAGATAATAGCGACCATAGCGACAAGCGCGACATATCCTACTCTGATCACCTTTTCCATTTATCTCCCTATCTCACTCTATTACGTTCATGGCAAAGTTGAAGGTTCAGATAGGGAGGTCAACAGGCATTTTGCCCTTCGTCACACTTGACTGCCCTGTCAGCCAATGTGACTGACAGAGTCTGGCAGTCAACGTATTAATTACGCCTCTTGTCTAGGTCGAGCGTTCGTATGCAGGGCGATTAATAAAGTATCCCACTTCAGAGCGCTGTAACGCCTAAACTATAAGGTGTAGGATGGTGACACGCAGGGAATCAATTCCGGCATTTGCCAAATCTTTGCTACCGGGTGTGCAACCATTCCATACTCGCTGCACCTACCAAATCCTACAACAGGGGGCGCCACCAAAGCATAATTTGCATGTCAGGCATGCCCATCGTGTTAGAAAGTTTCAATATCTGTCCTCTCTGCATTTCTGTCACCTTCTCGATTCATTTAACATTTGCATAGGGGTATCAACAGCATGTTTTATACGATTTTTCTTTTGCCATTTCTTGATTATATGCAAATTATGCGATGGTGGCATCCACATGGCAAGGTATGGTAAGTGCTGGAATTTATTCCCCATGAGTCACTTGTCACACGCGTGCAATGGCCCCATCCATCCTATCCAACGCATCTATTGCGCCCTAAAGTGGAATCCCTCTGGGATGGGATGGGAGGATGGAATATCATCCCTCTGTATAATGAGTCAGACCTACCTTCTTTAAGAAATATATTTTGGCGGGAGCAAATCTACTCGCAGCCCAAGGCCCGAATGGTGAAGCCTCCTTTAGTTAGCAGCCCTTTAAGAATACATGGACTCCAATGGGGAAAGAGAGCTCTTCAGCCTATAGGACTCTCTATCTCCCTTAAATGAGGTTCGTGCATTCGGGCCAATTCCTTAGGGTTTCAGGGGCCGCCTTTTTTGTATCATCCACGAAGGCATCTTGCCTCTTAAAGCTAGCGCAGGTTCACACAGTCGCAGGTGAACGGGTTCAATTGGTTACTTCTCGTTTTGTAAAAAATGTGCGGGGCTCCTCGCTATCGATTTCCTTAATGACGTTGAAAGCCTGAATGAGGATTTCTATCTCCCTCTCCAGACTCAACTCAATGCGAGTTCACTGTGGAGAGATGTGCGACACCGCCCACATTTTTTTCTTCATCTCTTCCTCTTCCTCTCTTACTCTCCTTCACTCACCCCCCCCCCCCCCCCCCCCCCCCCCC